CTAAAGGTAGTTCAATTAAACATGATTTCAAACCAAGTTTCAAGAACAACAACTCAAATGTGACATGCATGATCTTAAATCATCTTCAAAGCTTTAGTGCTGTTTCAAAAGAGCTCAGCCCTTCAAAAACAAGATGAACTCATGGAGTATGACCAAAAGATGGACATGCATGTGAGGATACATGGACTACAACCTCAAAACTCCAATATATGTACATGCATGCAACAAATAAGCCACAATTCAACATCTAAACCATGTTTGGTTCTAAACTCCATCAATATGACATGAACCATGCAAGAATCCACTCAAAACATGAACAAGAAGACAATGGAGCTACCTTAAGTCTTGTATTTAGGATAGGGGAGCTCAGTTGCACAAAACTCCTTCAATTCTTCAAGATTCTCAAGCTAAATCAACAAGAACAATTTCTCTCTCTCTCTAACTCTCTTCTTGGTCGGTTAGAGGCAACACAAAGGCTGATGAAATGTTGGTTTTAATCAAATGTAAGGCAGCCAAGGGTTTGAGGTAGTGGGCCACTAAGTGGTCTAAGTGTAAATAAGTCCAACTATGCGATTGATCAATATTTAATCTAATTTAATCATACCTAAACACTTTTCAGATAAATATACCATAAAATTACATTAATTATGAGGATCATAAAACACTAACCAATTCCGAATTCGGCCGCCGATAAGGCCTTCAATTAGTAGTTTAAACATATAAGCATGAACAGATAATCATACAGTCAAACAGATAGAATGCCATTTAACTAACATATACTCAATCAATTCGGTTTCCAATTTCAGTCAGTCAGTTCAGTACTTTTAATCAGTTCAATTATCAGTCAGTTATCAGTTCCATTTAACAGTAATCGGTAATCAATCGGTCATTAATCAGTAAACAGTATGGGGGTTGTTACAGCAAGACATTTAAAAATCGCAATTCACATATATAGATAATTGTAAATATACTAAGAAAAATGGGGTTTCTAAACCCTAAGCCTTGTAGGAGCTCCGATCTCTCAATCTTCATTTTCTAAATTTTTGATTTAAAAAAAAATCTCAACATTTATTGATTTGGTCAAAATCTCCTGATCAGCATTTATTAACTTTTTCCAATCCACATGCCTTCATTTATTGATTTGGTCAAAATCAATGATTAGCATTTAAAATCCCCTTATACAAATAATTATAGATACAACCCGTGTATAGTTACTGCAGTAGCCTTTTTAATTTCTCCTGTACACTATGGTTAGCGATAAGATTGTTAAATTATTTTTATAAAAAATATTAAAAAACATAATTTATATATTAAAAAAATCTATACTATATATTAAGCAAAAGGGGATTTTTAACCCCAAGCCTTGTGGGATCTCCAATCTCCCAATCTAAATTTCCTAATTTTTTAATTTAAAAAAAAAATCTTAGCATTTATTAACTTCTTCCAAGTCTTACCCTCATAATAACACTTTAATGCATTAAGAACAAGCATAAAAAAAATTCTTTGAAATCCAACACATATGAATTTCTTGAAAAGTCCAAACACATATGTTTATTATCCCTCATAATAACACTTTAATGCATTAAGAATAAGCATAAAAAAAATTTCTTGAAAAATCCAACACATATGATTATTTTCAAAATATTAAACTTTAATATAATATAATAATAAAAAAAGACATTTAATTCCTTGAAAAGTCCAACACATGATTATTTTATCAAAATATTAAACTTTAATATTATAAAAAAATGCCAAAATTAATTGCTCTAGCTCTATATAATAATCTTCATGTAGTGACAAGTAGAGCACAAAGCAAATATTAAATTTCTAATTTCATCACTCTTTGAAAAAAATAAAAAAATAATAAGTTAGCTTCACCAGACTCGTTGTTGTGTTATTGCAAAAAATAAAACATCAAGGAAGGGATTCTCTTTATTTTTTATGTGCATGTCCTCCAAGAGGTTCAATTTCTTTTTCTGCTTTTGTATTACTGCATGTAAGTCCCTCCTATACTTGGAAAAGTTAAAAAATTTAACAATAAATTTTCCTTATTTTTCTTCTTTAAAATTTGGAAGATTTATTAGAAAATCATTTTTCAAGTATTTGTATCTCAATTAGTCCATAAGATATTCTTGTATTCCAATAAGTCTTATTATTTGAACATTTGATCTATCAAATCTTAATTATCATATTTAAGATATTTTATGGACATTTCTATCCTTACAAATATTTTTTGAACGGTTAACAATTTAGTGATGTGAA